TGTTTTTTAATGTTATTATACCCTGAACAAGTTATATAAAGTTTGCCACGAAGTTTGTAGCAACCAGAGGAAGCAGTCGCAGTATAAAATATATACATATATAAATGATCAGCTTGATGAGATTTAGTGCGGCTGTAGAAGCGGCTCATTTGTGGGAACCGACATACGTCGAGATTTCTTAACGAAATTTTACATGGATTATTGTCTAAAGCAATAATGCAATCTCCAAAGACATTGTTTAGATCGGATCACTATGGCATATAGCTGTTATACAAACTGAACGATCCGAATTCTAGTTCTTGTAAAGAGTCCTTAGTATTTGTGAAGGGTATTATAATTGCGGTGCAACTGAAGTTAACGTTTTTCCTTGTTCTCGCTTATTTTATTTAACTGTTAGATCTAACCTTATGTATAGCCGGAAAATCTATCACTGGCGCGCAAGGTATGTGTTGTTTTGTTTAAAAGAAATTTTCAATTCAATTAGGAGTTTCCTAAGAGTAAATTCTGCTCATAATACAGTGTTATATAAGACTTATAGAAAAAGAAACTACTTATCTAGAATGAACATTTTAATTGCACACATGCATATATGTACATGCATACGCTATATGTATTTCGATATATTTATTTTCTCCCTTCAAAAGACCAACGCTATTAGTCACACTATCTGACCTTTACATAATCTGACAGGCATGCGAAATATTGACAATATGAGAACATATGTACATAAGTACTTCAGCATGTACTTCTTGTATATGCGTGTGTGTGTGTGTGCTATTGATTTTGTTGACTTAAAACGTTTCCGTTTCAACATGCAAAACATATGTTTGTTCATAAGCACTTATGGATTTGATGAATTGCTTAAAATAAAGGAGGGTGTGCTATGTACAAGCCGTGTCTGAAGTGATTGTTAAGTGATGTCACTGGTGCCACATATGCATACAGTTGTTTTTGTATGTATATATATGTGTAGACACTTAACAAACGTTACACAATACCCTTAAAAGAATATATACAGAAATAGGGCTTGTTAGCTTCATTGAAGACAATGATTTGTATATGAAATTATGGTTTAAATGACAAACTTTACGATAAACTGACCACTGGAAAGAGTTTCGGAAAATATAGTTTTATATATCTATATATAATTTTATTAAATGTTCTCTCTAACTTTTTTCTAAGCTTTCGCTAATCATATTTGATTTCAAATTGACCGCAATATATTTCTATTTTGACTATGAATCTCCAGTCGAGTTATTGTTGAGTAACAACATAGGCGATTTGAGCAGTGCGTGACAGCTCAACTTGGGCTTTAATTTGTCGCAAAGCTAAATGTTTATTGTGCAGGATCATGTAGCATCACACACATACACTTGTAGGTATATCTCATATTCGTACATTTTTTACTGTTGAGCCCACACATTATGGTATGTAGAGAGCAATAACAACAACACAATGTAACAATAAGACACCTCAGTTCAAATGTTCAACTTCAGCACGATAATGAAATATAAACGTACAACAAAACATACAGCATAAAGGCGGAATCGTAAAGTCGGAAAGTCATAAGTCAAGTAATAAAAATGTACAGCACTATATGCAGAGCTACGTATATATGTAGACTTATATGTATGAAAGTACTTTGAAAAGGAATTTTATTGCTTGAGGTTGAGGGGAGCCTACGTTAAAACGGTGGCGGCCGAGCAAGAGTGAGAGTTAAGTTGAAAGGGTGAGTGGTGCAATGTGCTGTTATGGCGCGGTAAAATAGTTAAAAGTGATACTGAAATATGAAAAAGTATAGTAAGTTGTATTAAAAAAAAAAAAATTTATTTTAAGCAAAAACGAAAATAAAAAAATTTATATAAATTTTTTACTTTTATTAAAATTTTAATAATTTTTTTTTTTTTGCATAAATTAAATCAAAGCTGAATTCCCGCGTATTGTCATTGCCAATTAGCTTAGCAGCTGTATTGTGTTTAATATCAGTGCGTTGACAAGTTGTTGCCACCTTTTTTCATTCTTCAAGTAATAATATTTTTACGATTGCTTTAATTAAACAAAAATGTGAGTTTGTGTGCATGACTGTGTTGAAATTTCAAGTTATATGTAGGTATATCTTGGATTGGAATCAGCATTGTCGTTTTGTTCGTGCACCACCAGACGAGTGGCGCCCGCCCACAGCCAACGAATATGTTGTCGTCGTCGTCGTCACTGGCGCTGTCGCCATCTACAGATTTTATAACGCGATTTACATATTTATATATATATTAACATCAGCTCTAACGCAATTACAAAAACACCTACAAACCTGTAATAATTATGCACGATTTTAAACAAAAAAGGGAGGGAAATTAAATAACAACTGTAATTAGATCGGTATTGGCTACTGTTTGAACAACGAGTGCGCACTGTCTATCTATTAAAGCACCGGTCTGTAATGCTAAATGAAGCTAAATTGAAAAAACAAATTGTATGAGTGATAAAGATTGAAATAGAAGAAGCGTTGGGGATTTTATAATAGACAAAAAAATTAAGAAATCGAAATCACCAGAACAGACTATAAAAAAATTAATGTAAAGGAATTGTCTCTCTGAATATCTTCTTCTATTTATGCTAAGCTGCGTGCTTTATGTGGGAGCATTTAGGTCAGACATTTTTTGATACTGATTCCCCGATTTAAATCCACGATCTATCGTATAATAGTCTCATAATTTTCCCTATAGCTCCAAGCAAAGCTGTTTCCGCTTTGGCATGACATACTGTGATCGCCTCGAAGAAATATATGATATAATTTTATTGTTCAGAAATTTTTTATTAGATCTACCGATGGTTTATATATTCGAACGGAAAGCTTTAAAAAAGTTTAGCTACAATGCTATGCATATTTTAATCCTATAATTGTTTGAGCATTTCTTATTTCAATTTAGGTGGCAACTTTTTAAAAATGGTCAATTTTTTAAGAATAATTTTTGACGCGAAACAAGTCTAAATACTTTTGCTTGCATATCTAATAAAATAAAATGCTATTAAAGTTTTTATTTTATACGATTTAAGTAAAATATTATGTCTACATGCGACCACATCTTTTTGAATTTTTTTACAAGCTATTATTTTCAACTGGAAAGTTGTCAAATGAACCCAGAAATGTAAGTTACCAACTAGTAGTTAATGTATATTGTTTTTGTTGCGAAATTTTTGCTGTTAGGCCGGCGATCTAAGTTAAGTTTAATTTAACTGTGATTAAAATTTAAACAATCCATTTTTAATAGCAGAACAAATCAAGAAAAAAAATACTAATATAATACCTTTTACAAAATGTTCCTTTCAAGAACTTTGATCGGTCAGTTTATATGCTATAAAGACTCGTTCTGAACAATTTTTTCGCAGTTGCCTTGGACAATAACCCATGAAAAATTTGTTGAATATATCCTCGAATGAAAAAAAATTTTCTATACAAACACCTGATTCCGATCGTCCCGATGGCATCTATACGTATTGTTATCCGATCTGAACAATTTCTTCGGAGATTGCAACATTGCTTTAAGCATAACCCATGCAAAATTTTGTGAAAATATCTCCTTAATTTTCCTTAAAATTCCTAAAAAATTTTCCATACAAACACTTTATTCCGATCGTTCAATTTGTATGACAGCTGTAAGCTATAGTAGTCCGTTATCGGCCGTTCCAAATAAGCAGCTTTTTGGAGAGAAAAGGACGGGTGCAAATATTCAGATTGATGTCTCCAAAACTTAGTAATTAGTTCGTATATGTTCAGACGGACATATCTAAATCGACTTGGCCCGTCATGCTGGTCATTTATATACATACTTTATAAAACCTCGTGGTAAACTTAATGGTTATGGAGACTTAAATCTATTTTTATAGTATTAATATTCGCTTTTATAATAATATTTAACAACCCTAATGTAATTACATACCTATGTACCTAAATCAGTAAAATTATTTTAAGAAATTGCTCGAAAAAAAATTGTTTGCAAATTATTTTCATGACTGTTATATCTGTATGTATTTGATAATGAACAGATGACTAAAGACAATGAAGTTCGTTTCTTAAGTCTTTTATTATGAGCAGACACTTCAAAGCAAATGCAAAACTATATTGTTCTTCAGTCGAAAAAGTGAAAAGTTAACGAAAATGAAACTTTAAGCTATTAAAAACATTTTTCACACTACCAACGTGCGCAGTTAGTAAATATGTATATTGCGTGGTAATTAATTTCAGTTTGCGCAAGGCTAATAGTTTGCAGGCATTTGTATGCTACACCTAGTATATGTGTGTTGATGTACGCGGCATTTGCATCTTTGCTTGCTATTTGTCACTAAGTTGGCATGACGAAATGGCACGAAATTGTTATTAAATTGTCATGAATATGACATCAACAGCTGCAGTGCGACTGATGGCTGGCGGCTGCTGGTTGCCGTCTGCCTGTCCTGTCTGTTTGAACGCCCGCTGTTCTGCCTGTGTTCTGGGTTGGTTTTATTGTTGTGGCTGTGCCTGACATTGTCAACGCCACTGTGATTTTATATTCTTATTAAAATTATGTATATATTTTGCTAACATTTGCTAAAATGAGTTAATGTCTCAACTATTTACGGGCAAATTTCAATTTAATTTTTCTCACAACGCTGCGGGTGTGCGCGTTGCCAGGCACAAAAGTGTGTTGCTTTGTTGTTATTTTTGGTTTTGATTTTGTCTATAGAATGCGGTTCCACACCCATGCTATAATGCACAGCTTAGACAATGCGATTATGTAATATTTAAATAAGCTATTTATATTTATAACGTAAAAGGATATTCTACCATCCATTTTTAATTATAAATAAAATAATTTCGAGACAATTATATTTAAAGAATTTTGTAAACAAATTATTGGTATAATTCATCTTAAAATTTTGTGAAATAAGAACTAGAAAAATTATTTTTTTATTGGAAGAAACACATAATTTTTATAGTTCTCTAATTTAATATGTTCACTCACCTTGATTTACATGCTGCGTAATTTCTATTTGAATTGAAAAAATATTCGTTGGTTCTTGCTGTTGTTGGTGCCACAGCGGGCACAAATAACAGAAATCACGTATTTTAAGGCTTTCGTTGACAATTTTTCTAAATCCTTTTGTGATAATGATGTTTAAAAGACTTTGTGGATTTTTCTATTACAATTTTTATGCTTGACTACACTTAGACACAAATTTATTGCACTGAAAAATCTGTAAGAAATAATAATTAAAATTTTAGAAGCTGTAAAAAATATTATAAATGATTTATTATGGTACATAAATTAATACATATATATATTGCATATTTCAACTTTATTATATTAAGCTTTTGCATACTTATATGTATAGCCTTAGAGCACTTTAAACGTGAATAAAATACAAAAAGCGTTAAATTCGGTATAATAACCTTCACAAATACAATAGATTCCTTACAAGAACTTGATTTTGATCATTTGGTTTGTATATCAGCTATATGCTATAGTGACCCGATCTGAACTTTATTTGGAGACTGCACCGTTGGCTTGGAAAATAACCTGTGCCAAATTTCCTGACGATATTTCGTCAAATGAAAATGTTTTTAATACAAGCACTTGATTGCGATCATTCAGTTTGTGTGGCTACTATATGCTATAGGGATCCAATGCGAACAATTACTTTGGAGTTTAGACCATAGCCTCAGAAAATAATATTTGAATTTATTGAAGGTATCTCGTTTAATGAAAAGGCTTTCTATACAAGTAATTGATTCTGATCTCTCAGCTAATATGGCAGCTATATACTATAGTAATCCGATCTGACCAATTTCTTTAGTAAATATACCGTTGCTTTGGACAATAATCTATGCCAAATTTCAATAAGATATCGTCAAATGAAAAGGCTTTCCATAAAAGCACTTGATTCCGATCGTTCAATTTATGTGGCAGCAGTTCCGACAAATGAGCAGTTTCTTAAAGAGAAAAGGACGTGTGCGATATTTCAGATTAATATCTTAAAACCTGATGAACTACTCATCAATTATATATATATAGTTTATAGGGTCCCCGACGTTTCCTTCTGTGTATTACAGACTTCGTGGCAATATTAATATACTCTGTTCAAGCTATACATTTCTTCTATGCGCCGATTTTCCAAAGACTTAATTGTTAATTGTTTAACTCCATTGGATACTCTGTTACAGGAAGTGAAGGCGGCGCAAAAGAGAACGAAAAACTCTTAAGCAAACTCTATCTCAGTTGATGTTGCAGTGACGTACTGAATAGTCTAGAGACAACCTTGCGATATCGTACAATTTAAAGAAGTGAAGAGTGCAGCAAGATTCAACAGGACATCTATATTAGGTGCGCTCAGCATTTAGACATCAATGGAATCACTTTTCGGCGCATCTTAAAGGAGTATTTGAATTTCCTCTATATAAAGTGCAGTTAACAGAAGTTTAATGAAGGTCGCCGCATGTCTGTTGTCAAAAAAGAAACTTCTATAAATTTGACACTGCTTGATTTCTCAACGCTCAGCATTTTAAGCTTGTGTTGCAGAAAATATATAACTGGTGTTTTCGTAAAGTTTAAAAACCAATTTGTCACAGCTGACACCACTATATATTTATGGTTGCCGAACAAATTTATCTGAAAATCACTAAGAAATTAGTTGGTGATCAATGCAAGCGTCACATATTCCTTGCTTTGAAAGATCAGCATCGGCTGCGAAAGATAGAATCTGTTTATCACAAAAGACCGATCTACTGATCTTCACCCGTTTTAAATCAATCAACTATTTTTGTAATAATTGTCATAAAAATTTTCTGTTGCCAATAGTCCAATATTCCTATATAATACTTCATTTTTCTATTTCTGACTATGATTAGGTTAGGTTAGGTTAGATGGCTGATCCCTCAGCATTGCGGAGAATTGTAATATACAGTCCTTTTTGATGCCAAACGATAAACTCCTGTAGTTGGATATCAGCTATCGGCAAAAATGCGCTGAAGCTATCACAAATCTGCTTAGGTGTTTTATTTCTAATTCCGCTATTTCACCCGAATGTCTAAAAATATGAAATCCAAGGTGTTTTTGCCTTGACTGTGTCAAGGTCATCAGTCTTACAGTTTCCTGCATACCGTCTAGTCTAATGATGGAATAACTCGATGCTACTGATAAGGAGTCTAGGCACATCCTTTCAATAGTTTTGAGCGCACAGTCAGCGAACTCTAGGCTAATATCGCTGCTTTACTATCGGAGTGTAGATCTACTGCTACCTTTATGGCAGCTATCTCCGTTTGGAAGACGCTGCAATTATCAGGAAGCTTAAAACTGGAGCTGATGGAAAGTTCCCGATAGTAGAGTAGAAATTGACGTTGGATTGCCAAATATTTTTTTTTTGTCTATGCTAAGCGCAGTTCCAATGTCTATTGATTCTATTTTACTGATTTGAACTCGTTTAAGCCTCTTTCAAAACTGTCCCTCAAGTGCTCAAGGCGTGCAGTAAAATACCAAATTTTTTGACAGTTTGTTGAATTTTTAATTCCAAACTTCATTATATCTGACATTGAATGATCTTTGCTGTTATTTCGAAAATATCTTTTGACGGTGAAAAAGATTTCGGTGGCAATATTTTTAAACATTTTTAAAAGACAAAAACTGCTTTGAATTTAAATTAAATGTTGGAAAGAAGCATGTACATTATTTGATCTTTAAAATATATATCGGTAAATTCAGCTCAAGCAGTAAATGATTTCGGCCCAGTAATTTGTCAAAAAGCAATCAAATAATAAAAATATTTGGAACAGCAGACGACAATTGGAAAAGGGAAGTTCGAAGTTTGGAAATATAATATGAAAACTTAATATAAAGATAACGCATAAAAAGTGTCTGAAGCAACCAACGAAACAACAATAAAAACAATGATATTTATTGTAGCGGACAACAGAAGAGTAGCAGAAAAGCAAATGCCATGTAACTGGCAGCGACAACATTCCAACATGTTGCTGCCGTTGCTGCTGCCAACAAGCAGAAAAATGCCAAAGACACACACACACACATACAACGTAAAAGTATGAGCACTTACTACAGTGTATATACACATATTCTCGTATGTAGTGAGCCGTCGGCGGCGATAGCAGTTGATAAATGCCTGCTGTTGCATAGATGTATAGATAAGTGCATATATGTGTAGGTAAGTGCATATACAATAAAATGTTCATGTGTGGAAATAACATAAATGTATTGACATTGCATTGTTTGTAGCTCGCCATATGCTTTATTTTGCTCTTTCGCAAAATTCTTTTCATTAAGTTTCACTGTTGGCATGCCTTTGACATGAAAGAGCGTTCATGATGATAAGAGTAGGCAGGAAATATATTATCAGAGTTGCCATCCTACAAGGCAGTCAAAACCATAACTGTAAAAAGATAGAACTAGATGGAGAAGGTATCTTATCTATCGCGAATTATTTATGTTTTTATTTGAAATGAAAAATTCCGTTCAAAAGCTGAGTTTTATCGTAAGGTGGTCAAAATAGAGGGCACTGGTGGCGAAAAAAAGTTTTTTTTTTAGTATATTCTATCGGCATCTATTATCTTTAATACAAGGTAGCGCACTCAATTAAAATTCCTGTTTTTCAGTCTTCAAAGTCGTTTCTTAGACTCTTTGAGTTGTTTTATTCATATTTAATAACTTTTATTGCAAAATTAAGATGAGCTCAATTAGTTCATTTGTGTTTGAAACGTTTTCTTTTAGCTATGGTGTTTTTTATTAATTTCGCATAGTTCCACGAAGATATTCATCCAACAACCAAAATTTTATAATAAAAGTGTTCGTATAGGTGTTTGAGATAGAGGTATGATAAGGATATTTACGCTTTTATTCATTCGTCCAAAATAATTGCTTATATTCCACCGAGGATCATTGTAGTCAATATATTGCATATGAGACATCTGTGTCCAATCTAAAGAAAATGAATTTAACTATTTTCGAAATTGGAATTTACAACGCTATTTCTTAGGCGAAAGTATTCGCAGCATCTTTCATCGCGGTTTATGCGTTCATTGAAGCCTGAATGTGTAACTTTTTTTCCAGGTACAAGCATCTTGGCTTTCAATGTAGATTGAGCTTAAGTGAATGATAGCTGAATAAAGTGCTCAAAATCAAAGTACCCAAGACTCTGAGGACCCAATCAAATTCATAAAAAGCTTTTCAAGCGCTTTGTCTTTTTTCTAAGCTGAAGAAGTGTTAAACAGTCTCGTATAATTCGGTCAACAAATCTCGGCAACTGCAAGAGACTATTAGCAAGGTTAATTTTTAATATTGAAGGGAAACGTGTGGTTTTATATTTTGAACAGGGTATATTAAGTTTTCCACGATGTTTTAACACCCAAACGATAGCTTCGGATATCCCATATATACTCAATGTATATACAAACGATCAGCGTAAGGAGCTAAGTCGATTTAGCCATGACATTCAGTTTTAGAGATATCGCTCTGAAATTTTGTACACATCTTTTTCTACATTATAATCCAAAACAACGGAATAATCTCCGAAAAAATTGTTTAGATCGAATGACTATAGCATTTGTTTGGAAAACATTTTTATTTGACAAAGTATCTTCACGAAATTTGGTATAGTTTAATATCTCAGGCAGATTGTTTAAATCGGATCACTATAGCATATTGCTGCCAGATATATACTTCGGCAATTCATCTAACAACCAAAATCTCTTTACATGCATAACGAAATTATTTTTGTATAGGCTTACGCTTGAATACCAGGAATTTATTGATCTAACTTAACTTCAAAGGACGTCTGTTTTCGTGTTTTCATTGGTCAACAGTCAGTTATGTCATTTACCAAAAAGTTAGCGTCGAAAATAAGTTATGAGATAGCTAGAAATACTAACGGCTAGCAGTAGTCCATAAATAAAAAAAGGAATATGTACGATAGTTTCATTTTTACAACGACTTGAACTTCTAAAAGAACTTATGGCAGAACTACATAAGTAGAGAGTAAGTGAAAGGACTTGCCATATCTGAGTCAGTATTTCCATATTGTAGATAAATAATAATACATATTTATTACCAGATAGAGCTTTCAATAACTGTTAGAATAATAGCGGAAATATGAAGGAATATCTTTTAAGATAACTTGTAAATCAGTTTGATTTAAATAGATACATAAATAGGTCTCTATTTATATACCTCTATGGTTGTTAGAGTGAAACA